GTTTGAATTCTTTGTTCTTCCGGAAAGATTCCAATGTAGTGGGCGGAATCGATTTCTTCCATCATGGCTTTTTGAATATGTACTGGTACTTGTTGACATTGGTTCAAATTGTTGCTTAATGTCAGCAGTGACGTGATACAATCAGGATTTTCGTGTATAGGTAGAAGTCGATTGTGTTTGCAGGAATAGTTTGGCTTGAGGTCAATGCATTCTTCATTTTGGTATTGGTAAAGGTCCGTACTTAGGGTGAGGTAGGTCGAAGGTGGTATTATGATGGATTGATTCTTATTAGGTACGGAGAAGAGGTGGTAATAATCGAAAATATTCGAGTGCACAAGAGGGAAATCCAGTGAAAACACGATTTTATTTTCTATCGCAAAAACATTAGTTTCTATGACTTCGTAATAATTCATGTATTCGTTTTGTGAAAATAACAATTGTACGTGGTGGTGAGAATTATGAAATTCTTTGACGATTTCTTTTAATTCTTTTTGTGGAATTATGCTATGATGTAAGGTTTTTAAACTAGCAAAGCTAATGGCATTTTCTATATCGTTTAGAAAATTAAGCACAGAGTCCAAATTTAACTTAATTTGGTCCATTATTTCGTGAATTTCTAGGTAATGCACGTAATTGGATTTTGTTTGTTGTAAATCACTAGCAATGTCCTTAATTTTATTTTCGATTGCTTTTTGATTTTTCGAAACTACACTCATTGTTTGATTGATACTTGTCATTAGGTTAGAGGTTAAAGATATTTGTTTATTTACTTTTTCAATTATTTTGTTTTGTTTACTTTCGAGTTCCAGAATATTATCATGTATTTCCTTTGCGTCTTCTTGGTCCAGATTACCAGTAATATATTTTACTAGTGAGCCTAAAGGCCCTAAAGGGTTAATTAAGCCTCTTTTTGATCTATGTCCTGGACTGATTGATTTTAATTTTTGATTGACTACGTTTACTTCATAGCTTAAGTGTTTATAAGTTACAAGTAACGGAAGTCTGTGCGCAATTAAAGAGGAATTAATGATGTTTTCTAGCTTTTCATATTGATAGGTTATAGAATCAATTTGCTTTTGCAAAGATGTCAAATCGATGTAATGTAAGAATATGTGGGTGGCTATTTTCATCTTGGCAGTTCCTAGTTTGAAGGGAAGTATGCCAGGATTGTTGTCAAGATTCTGTATTTGAACTTTCTGTGCCCTCGTCAGGTGAAGTAGTGTCATGAACCTGTAAAAGGGTTTGGTCAGTAAATTTTCGTGGATTTTTGAATACTTGTTTGTGATAAGTATTTTGGGTGGTCGTGACAGTTAAGTCGTTACTTCGCAAGACGTGTTCTGGTTTATATAAAGGATTTGTTTTGCCCTGGCGGTCGGTTAGTTTTTTATAACCTATTGTTCCGGGTTGAATTTCGACAGGGTCTTTTCGTTTTTCGTTAGCTTTAGAAATTACCTTTTCTTTATGCTCGCTCATTTTATTATGAATGTTTTTATAAATGTCAGAGATTATCTCTTTATGTTTATTTAGTTCGTGATTGATTAATTGGGTATCGGTATCAATATCGATTGGTTCCTTTAATTGGAGGTTACCAAAAATTAAATCGATTGGTTTCTGCTTTGTTGCTGAATGGATTGAATTGTTATACCCTATAATAGCAAAGTTCAATTTTTCAAATGGACTTAGGTTTGGTTTGGACAAAACTAGAGTCCGCATGTGCTCTAATAATGTAGAGTGAAATCTCTCAACAATAGAGTTGCTATTCGGGTTTAAGGGCAAGGTGTAATGCCAATTGATTTTATAAAGTTTGGCGAATTCTTTAAGAAGACTTTGATTGAATTCGGTACCATTATCAGATACGATATTTTCTGGGATTTTGTAATTTGAGACAAACTGTAAGAGAGATTGATACACATGTACGGCAGATAAGCTTGGTAGGACATAGGCTTGTCCAAATTTCGAGAAACTATCACAAATTGTTAATGCAACAGTTTTTTCAAATTTGAAAGTATCCACATGAATGGTTTCAAATGGTTTTTTAGGCGTGGATGTTAATTGCAATTTTATCAATGGTGGGTGACGTTCATATTTCACTTGTTGACTGATTGAGCAACTATTTATGAATTTTCTGACATCATCATTCATTTTGGGCCAATAATATTTTACGCGTAGTTGGTCAATCGTTTCGTGAATACCTCTATGATTGGTGATACCTTCATGTTGGCTTTTAATGAGATTTTTCTGCCTATCTTTTTTAGTTACATCGCAAAGCATTTTATTAGATTTCAAAAACTTGTAAGATGCATATTTAAATGTTTGCGGTATAAACTTACACATTTGCTTAAACAGCATATCGTCTTCGTCATTTTGAAAAAGAAAGACGTATTGCCTTTTTGGTTCTACGTATTCTTTTATGTATTGGATAATTTGTGCTTGGAAAGAATCGTTTGTTACGTAAATATACCATCGGGTTCTATTTACAGGATTTTGGAAAATTTTCTTCAATTCAGGAGTTATTTTCGACTTTTATAATGACTATTTGATACAGAAAATAATTTATTGGTTTTTCACTAATGTGAATAGATGAAATGGGATTTTCAGAATCGGTATGTACTGTGTCATTATCATTAAATTCGTCAGGGTCAGCTTGGCCAGCAATTGACTGGTTGTCGGTCGCAACATCGGGATTGTTTTCATTATTTTCAGAAGCTGTTGTAATTTGATAATTGAGTCCGTGACTTGTGCTCGGAAGCTGGTTGTCTATTGTTGTATTCTTGCATATACTGCAAAACAGGCGGTAAATTTGAGTCAAGGCTGTTGTCGTTATTTTCAGGTGGTGTTGGCGAAGTATCATTTACTTCGTTTGCGTTTATCTCGATTCTTGATAGCGCGTCGGCATTTGTATTGTTTTTACCTTTTTTATAAATTATCTGATAGTCGAATTCCTCGAGTTTCAGACGCCATCGAACTAAACGTGAACCTGAATTTTGTTCTTTTAAGTTCATTAGCCATTGGAGGGGGCGATGGTCAGTTACGATTTTGAATTTTCTACCAAATAAATATGGTCTAAAATAGCGCGTTCCCCAGACAATACTCAAGAGCTCTTTTTCAATTACTGAATAATTTTGCTCGGCAGAATTTAATGTTCTAGATGCATAGGCTATTGGTTTATCTTGTCCGATCGGACCTTGTGATAGTACACAACCTATGGCAAAGTTCCTTGCATCTGTAGTTAAGTTAAATTCTTTTGAGAAGTCGGGATATTGCAACAACGCCTCGTTAGTTAATAATACTTTACAGTCTTCGAATGTTTTTACGTAGGTGGGATCGTTTACATTAATGGTCGCGTTCTTTTTGAGACAATTAGTAAACGGTTTTGTTATTTTGGCGAAATTAGGAATGAATTTACGATAGTAGCCCAGAAGTCCGAGAAATCCTTTGATTTCTTTTGTCGTTTTTGGGATCGGGTATTTTAGTATCGCTTTGATTTTGTCAGGATTTGGTTTTATGGATTCTGTTGTCACAATGTGGCCTAGGAAAGCCACTTCCTTTCTAAGGAATTTCGATTTATCGGGTTGGATTTTTAGGTGACTGTCGCGTAGTCGTTGGAAGACTAATTTTAGGTTTGTCATGTGTTCTTGTAAGGAGGTCGAGTAGACGAGTAGACAATACTGTCGTCCATGTACACGAAGCATATTCGGTTTTGTAGGCCCTTAAGGACACCGTCCATAACCCTCTGAAACGTAGCGGGGGCGTTTTTGAGAACGAAAGGCATTCTTACGTACTCGTAGTGCCCATTCTCGACATTAAATCAGTCTTTTTTATGTCGTCGGGATGCATCTCTATCTGATGAAATCCGCTCGCGAGGTCTAGGGTAGAAAAGTATTGACAACGGCCTAATTTGTCGAGTATGTCCGTTATGTTAGGTGTCGGATAACGGTCGTCGATGGTCTTGGCGTTAACGTTCCGGTAGTCCACTACGATGCGCCATTTCCTCTTACCCGAGGCATCCGCTTTTTTGGGTACGATCCAGATTGGTGAGGACCACGGAGAATCACTGTGTCTAATGATGTTTTGTTGTAGCATGTCACCGATCTGTTTTTCTACTTCAGGTTTGTGTATAAACGGATATCGATACGATTTGGTATAGACCGGAAGTTCGTCAGTAGTTTTTATCCTATGTTTTACTTGGTTAGTGAAAGTCAAAGGTTGGTTTTCGAGATGAAATATGTCCGAATATTTTTGGCATAATTTTTCTAAGTGAAACTTCTCTTCCTCGTTCATGTGTTGGGTTCGAATGATATCGATAATGTCGAATCTATTAGGGAATTCATTAGGTGTGTTTTCTATAGAAATATTATAGATTTCAACATCGGCTTTATTGAACGCTTGTACGGGAATTGGGTTATACAAAGATATTTCCTGGACGCTATCAGTATTGTTATGAATTTCTACTGGGGCATAGCCGTCGGTCGCAGTTGTTAAGCATTCTTTTAAAATACAGTTAGACAACGAGGTTTTGTAAATACTAATGTCGCCATTTGGTATTGTTACAGGGATGTTTAATATTTCTATATTATTGGGTTCAATTCGAGTAAAAAATAGTATTTTTGACTTTGCTTCATAATGTGACAATTTTATTTGAGCTCTAGGTGTTTTAAGTAAGTCATTTTGTAAGTCCAAATTGACATTAAGATCTTTTAAAGTGTCATAGCCAATAAGGCGATCAAAATAATAATGAAATTTGAATAAATAGAGTTTCAATTTATTTTCGGACTTGAATTCTTCGAAAGCTGGAATTTCGGCACATTGGTATCTAGTAGTTGTTTGAAACACAGAGGAAATTGTGAATGGCTCTTTTCTCATGATATTTTCGAAATATTTTTCAGCAATTTCCGGATTGATAAAGGATTTTGAAGCTCATGTGTCTATTAATAGCTTTAAGGGTGGATTTGCTATTTTGACATAAGGGAGATCTTTTTCGTCATAAATAGAATGTATTTCTACGGCATCTCGGCGGGAGGCTCCGCCTCTTGAAAATTTTGTTCAATGGGAGTTTGATCATAATTTTCAGGTTCATTGGTTTCGGTTTGACCGTTACTTGGGTCATTGTAAAAATCTTGGGAGTCAACCTGATCGTTTTGCATTGAATAATTATTGTCGTTACTACCATCACCATAGCCTTGATAATCATAATAATTATTATAATTTTCGGCGTAGTGAGGATTTGGAATTAGATAATAGGGTGCATTTTCTACATTATGTAGTTGGAAATTTTGGTTATTGAATCTGTTGGTACCGTGAGATATGCCACTCATTGGTACTGGTTTTTGCAAATTAGATATGCCACTCATTGGTACTGGTTTTGGAAAATTTTGGGCCGCTTGAGGGTTTGGTTTCCAAACATTTTTGGGCGAGCCAAAAACTTGTTGGTTGGTGAAAATTTTTTGTGTTGGCATCTGTCTGGGATTAACGTTTATTGGGGCACGCAGAAATCTATTTCCGGGTGGTTGAAACGTTTGTGTTGGTGTGTAATTTTGTTGAAAATTTTGGAAACGTTATTTTGATGAAAATTCTGCTTCTGGTGATTTTGATGTTTATTTTTATTAGCAAAATTATCATTTTGGGGTTTTTGTAAATGTCTTATGTTACTTTCCGAAATGATGTACTGTCTAGCTTCGGCTAGATCTTTTGGTTTCATCGAACGGATCGTTGAACCTAGTGGTTCTTTTAAACCTGCCAAAAATATTGTTAAAGCGTGTAAATTATAGAAATTCTTTTTAACAATACTTGTTGGGTCATTAAAATTATTGTAGGTATCAATATAATTATGTAAAGCACTTAAATTAGACATAACTCTACTATGAAATTGCAAAGGGGGTTCGTTTGCGTAGGTGTCTAAGTTGATCTAAATCGAACAATAAGCCATTTTTGTTTCTTTGATCACCAAAATGCGCGATCAAAGCATCTTTGAATGTTTTCCAGTCCTTAGATACGCAAATGCTGTAAACTTCCCTAGCTTTATCAATTATTTTAGCATAAATTCCATAAATTATTGTGAGATTTTGCACACAATTAAGATCTTCACTATTCCAATAAGTCGAAATCAGTTTTTGACTTATTTCAAGAAATGAAGCTAACTCTAAAGGGTTGCCATCGAATTTTGGCACTATTTCGAGTAGTTTGGTTTCGAAATATGATGGAGCCATCGTTTCGATTCTCTCACTTATGGAAATATTTGAAAATAATTTCTCTAAATGTAAAGAAGTATTTAAATCTAACTGATTTGAATAATTACTATTATCGCTTAAAATTGACCCGTTTTCACTGGTTTCCGTCTCAGAATCAGATAAATCCGGGGAGATAGACAGAGACAGGTAAGGGACAATGTAAAGAAAATGGGACTTACAACAGGAAGCTCTTGATTTTTCTTCTTCAATTTTCACCTCTCTTCATAACTATTTCACACAAGTCTTACACTATACACAATGTTCTTGTCCGTTTAACAGAGTTTTTGTTTCCGGGTTCAAGGAACGTTTCTTGAATTAACGATTAGGACCGAAGGGTTTTTCGACGAGGAAGCCCTTTCAAGAATCCTACCGACTGCGCCACTTTATGTTTCCGGTAATAAAGAAACCGTTTTTGAAAATTACAAGTTCAAAAATAATAAAGCAAAAATACGTGTGAACAGCTCAAAGTCTATGTCTAATCTAAAAGTTAAAAGTTTATTCGCATGGGGCATCCTGGTTTCAAGCTTACACAGTTCTCAAGAACCTGCTTCGGCGATGCAATGGTCAGCATGTTCCCACGAATGGCACACATAACTGTCATAATATAGGGATTTGTCAAAACTTAAATAATTGTTCCTTGAGGCAGAAAAAAAGAACCAAGAGACCGTACCTAGTACTGCAACTGTTACTAGTTTTTCTATAGTCTATACCATCAAGTAGCACAAAATCACTTTTAATATCTGAAATTCCCAAATTTAGCAATGCTTTGCCACACAACCATGGCTTATTTCTTTTAAGATATATTATCCGACAAAACGATAATAAATACTTCACTAGGATTTGCGTCTAAGCGTAAATGATAAAAATAAAAACATCCTTAGCATTCTGATAAACCGACATTGGTAGAGAAATAAAAAAAAACTTCTGAGAATTTAGCCTACCCCTTCTCCTGAGTCTAAGTGATGCCAACTGTTAGTTTGAATTTTGACTTTCTCTTTTATAAACAATATCTGAATTTTAAAAAAAATTGCGGGTAATGTAAACATTGATTGAAGCTTTCTTATGACAATCGCGTACCTTTATATGTATCGATTTACTATACATGAATCCTTTAGACTTCAAATCAGTCTAAGACTTAAATATAAGAGTACGTCGATTGTAAGATTTCGATTGTGAAGGCTGAAATTCCTCCGAGAGTATATTGCAAATTCCGGTACAGATGGCGACACATTTTTAAGGAAACACAGTGATTTAGGTCGAGAGTATTGTGAGAATTTATGAGGTGCGCTCGATATATCAATGCTTTAGAGTAGTTTCAATATTTTTGAATTAAGAGTGTTTTTTAACTATAACAATCGAATTTCAATAAATGCAAATTTTTGTATGAGAAAATGTACATCCATTATTAAATTTTGATGTAAAAGCTAAACCATTCTGGTGTTCACACTATCGGTCCTCCAATGTATATAGGCATCGATCGAATACCCATCGTCATCTAATTTTAATAACACTTGCGGATTAATTCAAGCCCTTAATGCACGTATTAGCTTTATTGCATCGTTATCAATTTATTGGCTATATTCCACACCAATGTACGAATAATCGATGGAATTGGTAATTTTGAGGTTAAGCGTTGGCAGGTTACAAAAATTAATCGAAAATCGGATAGCAGGCCCCTTGAAGGCCGTGTGGTCCTTCAAAAATAAATATCCTTGAGAAAAAAATCAGTCCGCTTTTTAATAATGCGCAGTACTACGTTAAATTTCCAATATCTCTCCATTAGCCTCTTAACCTCTATTATACTTAATCGGCATATTACGCTACACTGCAGCTAGAGAATGCAATATACAATTTAACAGACGAATCAATAATCGATTGTTCTGTTAGGTATACTCGCATCGCTCTTCTCTGGAATGGTCTAATACTAATTTGAGTTAAGTGTATCCGAAAATGTTTACATAACATAACATTGCATAGCATTTCAAGCGGGAAGACACTAGCTGATTTCAGACAATTTAACTTGTAATACACGCAACGAGCCATACTTTAAAAATTAAAGAGAAGCGCTTTCTTTAGAAGCACTACATAGATACTACGAATATGGTGAGCATATTCGAAAGACCTTACATTAGATATCAATTAAACATTTCCGCGGCTCAGGCTCCTAAGAATATTTTTTATTGGAAACTATCAAAGATCAACTTCATTTTACCTCAATTTATTACGTTCCAAGTGATGACGGCTTAAGACCATCATCTCATCACAAGTTCAGATTACAACTAACAGTGTGACATTGAAATTCCAATAAAAGAACGTGTGAACTAAATTAACAAGCTAACTTATTGTTTGGTTTATACGGAAACAAGTAATTTTCTGTATTTATAGGACTTCCGGTAAAAATTATAATTTATCATAAATAATACAGAGACAAAAAATAATTTTGTCCTCATCCAAAATATATCTGATAATTAAATTAGAAGCCTAATATTTCAAATCAATTGGAAAAAAAAGTAGAATATTCAATTAGTAGAAGAATTTTTTTTTTTTCCTACCGGGAAATATACCTATTATATTTTTTAATAATTACTGTCCCCCGTGTAAATTATTCACCAATTGTTAAGAAAAAATTAATCATCAACCAATTATCTGGTACCTAATCTATTTCCAGCACATAATAATTAATTTACCTACTCTATTCCACCTTGTCGAACATATGAAATTGATGAGGTAATCGAGAAAAGATTAATCAATATCGCATCGGTTAATTTCAGAAAACGAAGCCAAAATAAATAAGCAACTTATTAAGTTGATGACTTAGCAAAACTGTTATTATTTAGTTATGTAGCTGCCTCTAATTTTCACACAATATGTCATCATAATTTTGAAAATGTTTCATTCACATTTTTTTTTTGTATAACGTTTGAGCACATTCTTTATAAAACCCGCACGAACAGCCTCTTCAGCTAGCAAAAGACAAGCATAAATTTAAACAGATAAAATAAAATTTTCTATTCCCAGCGGACAAATACTCTCACTTCCATCAGAACTTACAATAAATAAATCAAACTAATTGTGAAATACAAGGAAAAAGTGGTGGATACAATATCAGTTGCAAATGAAACTTTCATATTCAAAATGTCACGATTTGGGCTACTAATCCAATCAAGAAACATTTACTTGGGCCTAATTTTTGTGGGTGACGAAGGCTTGAAACAGGTCAGTGTCAAAACCTGCCCAAATGTCAACTTCATCTGCTCAAGCCTTGGTTCATCTTATCCATCCGGTGCAGCCTCTAGACAACAGACGAGGGTCTGATGACAGAGATTCAGAAGTGCAACTGACAGACGGCAGTAAGGAAATTCATTCTCAAAGAACTGATCAACTCACGAAGACGCCTGACCATGATGAAGAAAGAAAAGAGAAGGCCCTCTGTCCCTAGTGTACTAGAAGCACAGCAGAGGTGCTAAGAATCACTGGGTGCGAAATCCATAAGCAACTAAAGTATTTTTAAACGAATTGTGTACTGTGAAGTCCTAATTATCAACATTAAGCTAGAAGACATAAACTAGCAATAGCCAACAAGGATTTAAATACGTCCCGGGAAAACAGAGAATACAACGTAAGACTGAAAGATTATGAAACTGAGAGACAGAGAGATAGTAGTAAGTTCAAAAAAAGCAGTACATATATGTATACAGGATGCTGCAGAGAGGATATTCGAAATGCAGCTAGGCCAGTCATGTATCTAAGAATGATGAACAATGGAAGGCAGGGAGTTAGGAATGGAATGGAACCAAATGGAAATACATGCGGAGTTTTATACTCACACAGACTGGAAAACGGCTAGATATCTATTTTTAAGTATGAATAAGCATTAAATACTAGTACTCCACTAGTGAATAATATAATATATGCGGGAATATCAAGGGAATAGCTTGAATGATTTCATTTCAATCTCATGTCGCAGTAGTATAGTGAGGGTAAGGTATCAATTTATCCATTATGATATAAATACTTATAGCAACAATAATTTCGGCCTTATTTTTTTTTTTGTAGTAATCCTTTATATCTTGCTGGAGTTTCAACCAAACTGTATACTAAAACTTGTAGTACTTACCTAATTTGCCTTACAACCAAAACTGTTAGGTAACAGCTTAACCAATCCCCAATAATTTATAGCTCTATCAAGACCAAGCCGATCCATTCCGTCACACAGCTGTTTGTCCGAC